CATTTGATCAATGAAGGGTAAGGGCTTTGGTTTTTGAGGGTTACGGCATTTAATTTCCATAATCTATACAAATATGCCACCCATTTTGAACACGGGTGGTCACCAACTCATCATTTTGATTTTTTACAATAGTTATCCCAGTCTTTTTAGGAACCACTTAAACTGGGCTGACCCAACTGCTATCAAAAATAGGGTAAATTACTCCAACTTCGAGAAGCTTGTGTATCTCCTTTTTCACTACATCCATCATAGGGGGGTTCAATATCCTTTGTGGCTGACGGGAAGGTTTTGCTTCTTTTTTAAGTGAAATGCGATGCATGCCTATAGATGGGATAATTCTTTTGATGTCTGCAATTGTCCAACCAATAGCTGCCTAATGCTTCTTGAGAGCCTGCACAAGTTTTTCCTCCTGTGATGAATTGAGTTCATTTGAGATGATTACTGGCAATGTCTCTCCATCCCCAAGGAATATATGAGTTGTTTGGGAAGAGGTTTCAAATTTGGAGTGAAAACCTGCAAAACAAAAGGTAAAGGCTTCTCGTCAGAAATGGGTAGCACAACACATGACACTTTACCTGCATGGGGCAACTTTGGAAGTTCATTTAATGTTGCAACAGTTTCTTGCAACTTAATTTTCAAGGCTAACTCCCCATCCTCTTCCCCAAGATGTTTACCAATAGCCACTTCCAATTCATCCTTTCCATCAAATTCAAAATTTGCTGACCTAAGCAATCAATCAATCACATCAATAGCTTAGACGGGCTTATCATCATTGGGAAATTTCATGACATCATAAATGTTGAATTTGATTACTTCACCATCAATTTCCATAGTAAGTGTGCCACTATGCACATTTATTTTAGTTTTTGGGGGTCTTTAAAAATGGTCTTCCTAACAAGATGAGAGCATTTTGATCGCCGTTTTCAATGTCAAGTGCATAAAAAAACCAGCAGGAAAAACCAATTCGTTAACTTGTACAAGCACATCCTCAATCATACCCCTAGGGTAAGCATTAGACCTATAGCCAATTGAATTAATATTCCAGTTTTATTCAAAGTTCCTAGTTTCAAAGAAGCATAAATAGCATATGGCATAACATTTATACAGGCTCCTAAGTCTAGCATAGCTTTCTCAAATCTAGTTTCACCTATTGTACAAGGGATATTGAACATACCTGGATCCTTGCACTTTGTAGGTAATTTCCTTTGAATAATCGCTAAAACCTGAAACCCCAACTCTAACTTTTTCATATCCCTTGAGTTTTTGTTTTCTCTTAATTGTACACAACTCCTTTAAAAACTTAGCCTATCGAGGTATTTGTTTAATAACATATAATAATTGTATATTTACCTCACATCTACAAAAGGTTTCATAAAGATCTTTATTTTGTTCATCCTTCCTATATTCTGCTGATGTTTGAGGGAAAGGGGGTAAAGGTTTATAATCAGGGAAAGGGAGCAACGTACTCTTAGGTTTACCATTGTCGTTGGGGACATTCTTCTCTGTACTGACTTCTTTATCCTTTTCTTGCTCTGATGATGTAGGAATTGCTTTCATTGGAATTTCAACCTCTTTGCCACTCCTCAACGTAATTGTGCTTCCATTTTTCCTTGGATTTACTACCGTTTGAGAAGGTAGTTTTCATGAACTTTGTGATTCAGTCAATTGATTGTCGTTGCCATCTGACCCATTTTATTATCCAAGCTTTGAATACTTGCCTTTGCCTCATGTTGGAATTGTTTTGTTTCCTATTCAAATTGTAAAGTATTAGTGACCCTTTACTTAACAATATCCTCTAGAGACAAACCAGAGTTAGAAGATTGGCCCTGCTGTTATCTAGGACGGTATGGCTGCTTGAATTGTTGAAAGCTTTGGCGATTTTGGGTCATGGGCTAGTTTGATTGTGGGTTCCCATAGCTAAGATTGGGGTTGTCCTCAAAAGCCACCGGCTGCATTAACTTGTTAATTGGGATCTTCTTGGGGAGTCAGGCACATGTCAGTGGGATGTCCTACCACTAAACAGATTCCATAGGCCTTTACTGTTTGCATAGTACCTGTAGCCATTTGTCCAACAAGAGTAGTTAAACTCGAAATCTATTGTTCAAGGGATGAGATATTTACCTCATTGACACTTTTAGAAGGAGTGTCGAGTCCAGTGCCGAACTATTGAGAATTGGCTACCATGTTTGCAATTAAGTTTCTCACACCCTTAGGAGTTTTATCCACCAATGTTCCTCCACTTGCAGCATCAACAATACTTTGTTCTGTGGGTAGAAGGCCTTCATATAAATATTGGATGAGAAGCTGTTCACTGATTTGATGATCCCAACTTGCACACAATTTCTTGAAACGCTCCCAATATTTCTTGTAGAGATTTTTCGTTGTCCTGCCTCACTCCACAAATTTCTTTTCTAATATTTGCTGCCCTTGAAGCTGGAAAGTATTTTTCTAGAAATAGCCTTTTCATTTTATTCCATGTGGTGATACTTCTAGAAGCTATCAATAGAGCCAATCCTTCGTCCAATCCTTCAATGAAATGGGAAAGCCCTCAATTTAATTTGCTCCTCAGCAACTCTTGTAGGTTTCATGCTTGTACAGACCACATGAAACTCCTTTAGATGTTTGTGGGGATCTTCACCTGCAAGGCCATGAAAAGTGGGCAAGAGATGAATTAGGCCAAATTTAAGTTCAAAAGTAGTGGCAACATCTGAATTTGGAAAAGTAATGCTTAAAGCTTGATTAATCAAATTTAGGACTGTAAGCTCCTTCAAGGTCCGATTTCCATCCAAGACGTCCTTTTCTTCTAAATCAAATTCACATGTAAATAGGATGTTCAGGTTGAGATTGTTTTCTATAAGATTTCGACAAGTGTCACTCTGTAACCTACGCAAAGTTCTCTAAATTTTTGGATCGTATTGCAAATTACCTTGATTAGAAGATCTAGTTATGGTCATAAACAATTGAAGAAACTAAAAATTAGGAAATAAACAAAAAAATTGGACCATTAAAAATGAAATGAACAAAGAAAAATCACAAAAATAAACTAATTCACTCCCCGGCAACGGTGCCAAAATTTGGCGTGCTATCGCAGGTACCCAAAAATAATAAAACCTGCACTTCCAAAAAATGTATATAGTAGTGGAAGTAAGGATTGTTCCCACGAAGAGTGATTAGTTTAATTTTCTGCAATGTTAACAATATTGGGGGTTTTATTTGTGATAAAATCATTTCTAACTAAAAGCAATGCAATTTAATAAATTGGATAAAATCGATGGAACGAACCTTGTTCTAAGTCAATATCCTCCGTAGGAATTCCGAACTGATCATAGATCCATAACTAATTAACAATTCATATTTTTAGCATTCATCCTTGAAATTTATGTTTCCTATTTCTCCTTAGTTGTATTTAATCAGAAAACAAATGATCCAATCAATCCTTATTATCAAATAACTCAAGAAAAGCACTTAAGATTTAATTTAACAATAGCATGCGAAACTAGAGAAATCGATGAAATTAAACAATACAATCACAAGCGGTCATGTTTAATCCAGTCAAATATCCTCCCTAAAATTTAATAACCTCTAAAGCAGCGATTGATCAAACTCTAAACAATTATTGTATTTGATCTTTAAACAAGTAGTCGATCGAAGTACATGAATATCTAATAGGCCTCTTAGAATTCAAATACAACAACCATAAAATCATGCATAGAAGAATACTCAATACATAAAATATGAATGATAACAATGAAATTTATTTAAATCTCATAGTTTGAATAATTCCTAGGCTTCAATATCCTTCGACCAAGAGATGAAGTTTAGCAATACATCAATTATCCTTAAGCAAAAAGAGAGAAAAGTCTTTTTGGGGGCGTTCTTTAGTTTTTTGACAAGTTTTGGGTTTTAAAATCATGAAAAAAGATTGTTGCCATAAGTGGTTGGAAGAAATAAGGAAACAAAAAGTTCGCGTCCAGATTCATCTATGCGACCGCATAGGACAAAGTCATGCGGTCACGAGGAACAATGATCACAAGAATGAAAACACATCATAAGAACTCTAATAAAAGATTTCTTGAAATTTGCTTATGCCATTTTCACAAGAATTTTGATTTTCAATCATGAATTATGTACTAAGTTGTAATAAAGATGGCATTTTGGAAAATAATACCACACGATTTTCAAGAAAAATATTCTTGAAATTTGGATTATGCTTTTTCTTGAATTTTTGAAGTATTCTTGGAATTGGTAAGATGGTTATGGCATTTTCTTGATTTTTTTTTACTGCCTTTTTAATGGAATGATCAATCGCAAGGAAAGAAAGTAGAATACAAATTGTGCTTCACTAGGGTTAATGCACTAATGATAAGAATCATGGTGGGCTGGCAAGCGAAGATCCTTTACACATTCTAGATGGACCAATAACAAGATTAAGACTAAAGTTGTTCAACCCATGTGGATCGAGAGTTCAAGTGCAATGAGTAAGACACAAAGTTTTAAGATAGGTTTGAAGATTGAAGAATAAAGCTTAGTGCATTTGATTCATGCTAAGGAAGAGGGAGCTGATTCAAAAGGTCATGCCCATGCAAGGCTTTAATTTTCTTACCCACGCAAGCATCAAAATTGCATAATCAAGAACAAAATTATTGAACTGTGCCCATGCATGGTATAAAAATTTTGCACGGAGTTTTTTTTTTTTTTTTACTCTAACTTTATTTGTTTAGTATTTCTTGATATTTCTCATGTTGATTCAAACTTTATATAAGGTATATTCATTGTACAAACTAGATGAACACATTATTTAAGAGCTTAGTTATAAGTAAGGATTCGCTTTCAATCTTCTTCTTTTTTTAATTAAATTATTCAGAATTTATCAAAGATTTCCAATCTTTGTAACTTTCAACCTTTTCAGCCATGCCTATTGACTCAAGAAATCATTGGATGGTCTTTTTAGCTAATTTTAACTTTCTTGAGGTTCACATCAAATCTTGTGTGGATTTCAGGGTACATTCTACAACGAGGTTCACATTAATTGGTATCGAATCTTCCACTCTGAAATCAGGTTTTGTTTTTAACTTCCTTTTTGTTTTCGAGTTCTAATTTCTTCTTGTGTCTTTTTATTGACTTTTCATCCCACTGCTAGAGTCATTCACATCAAATATGAAACCAAGCATATTAAAAATCGTTTAGTGCACCTACAGTAATTCTTTTCTGGTTTCTTAGTTGATCTAGCCCATTAAGTTTGATTTTTTAAAGTAAATAGCAAAAAAAATTCAAGTAAAAAAGCAAAGAAAATTCAAGAAAAAACTATACAATTGAAAAAAATAATAATAATAATAATAATCTAATTTCAAAAGTATTTTCATAGATTTCTTGTGGAGTTATTTCCCAAGAAACACCATTTTTACTATTATTTGATATATTTGTCAAAAGGGCTTAAACCAATTTCAAGAAACATTTTCTCGGAGTTCTTTGTTTCCTTCTTGAGCCCTTTCTTGAGTCTTGTTATCCTCCCTATTTCTTGGGCTCTTGTGGGTTCGAACATTTCAAAAGCAGAATTCTTGATTGAGTTTAGTCAGTACCTTAAATAACTTGAAAATAAAACATAGAGAGGAAAAGTGCAAGAATGGTGAGCTTATTATTGTTAAAAGGCCTATATAGGAAACAGTTGAGTGAAAAGACGTGAGGCTACTTTTCCAAATTATTAAAATGTCAAGACAAAGGAAAATCTATATCTAGGAAAGAGAAATCAATTCTTCATGTTGAAAGTAATGCAACAACAATTTGAAATGACGAACGTGGTGTTTAGAGAAATTAGGGAAATGCGGTGATTGTAAACTTACAAAATGGACAACCAAAAAGAGCTCCTCATGTTAGAAGGCACGAAAGGCTTGAATTCTAGTGCTGAATTTGATGATGAGAATGAAGTGGAGAGCGAGAATAAGGATGACGAAATCTTTGAAGCTGAAATGGGTAAGATGAGAAATAGAGGATATAAGCGAGAAAAGGGGCCTAGAGGAGAGACCTTAGAGACCTTGAGTTGAAAGAAACTTGAGTAGTATTAAGATGGAAATACCTTAATTCCAAGATAGAAATGATCTGAAGTTTATTTGGAGTGGGAGAGGAAGTTGGACTTGGTCAAGGGATATAATTCATCTTTGATTGCCACAACTATTTTTAAACAAGGTCATGGTTGTGACAACGTTGAAAACAAGGGGAAAATAAAAGGTGAGTCAAACTGGGGAATAAAGTCCCTAGAGATCAACTACTAAGGGTAAATCCAAATTCGTAAGCGTAAAAGTATGATGTCAGGACGGGAAACCATTATTACTACACCCGAAATATTTGTATACCAAAAAGCTATAACAAAAGTCATAATTGCTACCTTTTATTATTTTTTGATTGCAAAGGATATTGAATGAAATTTTTTACTTTTCGAATTATATTATAGAACCAAATGCTCAACAAGAAACATGATTGCATGCCAAACAAATAAAGTATTGCGAGCTTAAGTAAAGAAAAGGTACCGAAAAAGTAATAGCAATAATGAAAGGAATTGCACATATAAGAATCGATAAAACACCATTGCAAAAGGGAAGCGAGATAAATAGTAATGGATCAACCAAAGGCTGGATATTTCCAAAAAAAATAAAAAATGTCTCCAGCTGGTTAACTTGAAAGTTATCCCCTGAGGGGACACTCACTTCAAAAGGAGGAAGATGAGCAAGAATGAGAGAGTTAGCTGGTTCAACGATAGCAGCAACCCACTTGAAGGAATAACTTGTGAATCCATAAGCAGGGAAAGAATAGATGGAGTACTCATTACCTCAAAGCCCAATAGAGAAATTTCAAAGGAAAGGGTATCCTCAACATCTCCCTCACAGGCCTCCAAAAAATCCATGTTCCATTGAGGATGCTTCTATTTATGTGAAGAACCTTATTACCTCCTTCCAGCATCGCTTCTTCGATAAGTTTGGCCTCATGGGCATTTCTTTCAACAAGATTTGACTCTATGATAGTAAGTTTTATCTTGTAATTTTTCAACTCATTATGAAGATCATTTTGTTTCTCGCACTCTCAAGATCTTTGCCGACAAGGAATCATTCGACCTTTCCAATTGGCACTCTTCCTCAAGTTTGAAAACCTCAAGATCAACCCTCTTAACAAAAGCTTGATGATTCAATTTAGCTTGCTCCACGGCTTTAGAGACCCTCCTAATATCAGCTAATAGAATAGCATCTTTATTAGCACAAGTCTCAGCACTACATACATCTCTTTGTACTTAGCTTTCTCCTTCTCAATATCCTCTAGTTTCCTTTGAAGAGATGAATCTCCAAGGACTATAACTTCTTGCATCAGATGAGCATCCCCAGACCCGTGTGGGGCAAAGGTCATGTGGTAGTATGCTCGACCATCTGTAGAGATTTAGTAGTCCCCTCAAGCTCTACAAAAGCTGAATCTCAAGGTGGGTGTTGAAAATTTTAGACACTTGGAGGCCACTGAAAGGATTGCATTAAAATCAACCTGCACTACAAAAAAGGAAAAGTCAGAAGATTGCATTAAAATCAACCTGCACTACAAAAAAGGAAAAGTCAGAAGATGTCTAAAAATTAGGCGAAGAAATAAGAGAGCCCGAAACCACGAACTTACCCATAGTGGTAATGCTAACTTGGTAAAAGTTTGGGTTGAAAGGATTGAACTATCTCTCAGCTTCGAGAGTTTCAGAACTTAAGCTAAAGATATGTGATGCTAAGGCGTAAAGATTGATAAAACCTTGACCTCAAAGAGGTCTTGCTTGTTTACCTATATCTACAATCAAAATACTAAATTTAGATAATTTAAGAGTGAAAAAAAAAAAGAAAAAAAAAGGAGAACCAACATTTATTATATTCTCCATAGAACCGAGGCATAACAATTGAAAGATTGGGATCATTAGATTAAAATCCCTAGTTGCCTCGAATAGAGAAAAATCTCCCTCCAGTTATGCACCTTATTAGAAGTTCAAATTTTGGGCATATTAGCAAGGAGAAAGATTGTAATGCCCTTTTTGAGGGTTCGCATTATTTCATGAGCCTTTACGAGGTGGTGAACAGATAGGAATACATCCGATGAAAGCTCCTCCTCTAAACCTACTAAACTCCATTACAAAAAGGAGCCCACAATCTGGGCCCACCTATTTTGAGGAGCGACGCTAAAGGAAGAAAGGGCCTAAGAATTTATGGAAAGGAACTCTAAGTCCATGTCCATTGAATGTTTATAGATAGCTATACAACTATGAGGGGGACAATCCGCAGTTTGAAACTACCTAGGACACAATAATTCTATATCGTCAAAAACGCTAATCGATTCCAAATTTCACTCAAATCTTGCTCAATAATATTGGTAAAACATTCCAATGCTTCAAAAATCTCCTCATCACTCTCACTGAGGCTTAAAGATTTACTCGAAGGTTTGCATGCCTCATCATGCAAATCAACCCTAAGAGGAGAAGTACTAGGTTAACGTAAATACCAAAATAAGTAATTACAGAGTAAGGTAATGCCTCAATACACAGTACTTCTATGGAAGAAGAAAAAGTACTAGGAAAATCATCCCTAAGTCTAACTCCCAGTGTAAGAATCATAAGACAATTCTTGGGACTCACAAAGACATTGTAAAAAGAAAAACTATAGAAGTTTAAAGATTATAAACAAAAAAAAACAAGAGAAGGATAGAATATGTACCTAAGGAAGGATTTTGAAGGAAAGCAAAAGAAAGCAAAAGATATAATCACTAGAAAAAGCCCAGCAAGAAAGAGCAACAAAGAATGAGTAATGAAGATACTTGTTGAATCAAGAAGTTTATTGTGCAAACTCCCATCCTTTAGGAGAATTTTAAAGTGAAAGGACGGTAAAAATATAGAAAGCTTATAGAGGGGAATTGTGAACCACCCCCTTTGAGGATAGCCAAAAAAACTACTATTAAAATACATGTGAGCAAATATTTAAAACATGAGTTCCAAACCAACGCACGCCAGACACACAAGATAATAAATAATTTGAATTCATAGTAGAATCAGTTACATGCCAACCAATGAAAGACCACCACCTGTTGTTTTCCAGAAAGACAATTGCCCCTAAAGCCTTAAAGAAAATCAATAAATACTCCCACCTAAGAAGAAAAAATGATGCAAAATATCTCCCTCCCAAATAGTCACTTCTCCTCTGGCTCCAATTTGAGCATCAAAACTATAGAGTTTAGGAGATTCTATCATGGCTAGGTGACAGGAATTTGTTGATCATAATTTCATAGTCAGCAAATTGGCATCGTCTGTGGGAGTGTAAAGAAAACCAAATGTGTCCATTGAAGTTAGGAAATCCTTAAAATTTGGGGGGGTGTAACCAACGGCAAATCGCCTTGGTTTCCCCACCACTGGCAATCGGGGATTTTTCCAGATAATATGTCTTCATTTACAAAAGATTCTAAAAACTCGCAAGACTTACAAGATGTGACAATAAGTAATTTAATTTCAAAACTTTATTTCTTCCTAGTTTTCTTCGGTATTTATCTCCTCTTCTTCTTCTTTTAGATGTGAATTTAGTTGCAGTGCCGTCGTCTTCGTCATTGCCGTCTCAACCCATGAATTTAATCATCATTTCCAAACAACTACCTAGGTTAGAAAGTACTTCAAAATCTACATATCTAGGTTATGTTATTTTTTTAGATTTAATGCTAAAAACTTCTCTTGCCAATGGCAATGATGTGAAGGGAGGGGAGGGGGGGGGGGGGGGGGGGGGGGGGGGGAATGAGCCAGGAAGAAGTAAGTTTTAAAGAGATAAAGGTGCTGGAGGTTCGAAATAATGAGATCAGCCATGATCCAGTTAATCCAAGTGCAAGTTCAAAGTAGTGGCAGGAGGGAGGCAATAGTGAGGTTGGGAAAGAATCTATCCTTTGCCTAGTGCCAACATTTACAAAAGAAGAAGTTAGTAGCAGAGATATATAGAAAATGGCCAATGATGTTGAAAGTACTAACGGTGGAACACACAGCTTTAGCACAAAAATAAGGAACCTGAAAGGTAAAAC